CTGTACCTTTATAGTAAGTCTTGATGTTGGGTGGTCAGTTCTCTTTGTTCTTATTCTTTAATATTGTTTTGGCTGTTCTGGGTCTTTTTTCTCTCCATAGAAACTTTTCAAGCAGTTTGCCAATATCCACAAAATAACTTGCTGGGATTTTGACTGAATTGCATTAAATTTATAGATCAAAGAACTGATGTATTATAATATTGAGTCTTCCTATCCACAAACATGGAATATCTCCCCATTTAGTTAGTTCTTTTATGTCTTTAATCAGAGTTTATAGTTTTCCTAATATAGATCTTGTACATATTTTGTTAGACTTATATACCTATATATTTTATAGATCCTGTACATCAGGGTTTGACAAATACGGTTACTTTCTGACTTTTGTTATGTGAGTACTCTGTGTACTATTTTTACTCAATATTTTTCTTTAAATTTATTTTAGAGGCAGGTACAGTGCTTCATGATTGAGTCCTAGATAGTTGGGAGACTGAAGCAGAAGGATCACTTGAGCCCAGGAGTTAGAGGATACAGAGAGCTATGATCATGCCACTGCATTCTAGCCCAGGCAACAAAGCGAGACCCTGTCTCTAAAACAAAACAAACAGACAAAAATAGATAAATAAATTTATTTTAAATCAGTAACTTAAAAAAATCTTAACTACCATAAGCAAAAGGATTCATGAAATCATTCATTTGGTGGATTTCAATTTTTTTAACATAATTAAAATAAAAAGAGCTATTATATGTCATCTGAAAATCATCATGTGTATTGCCAGAGGATCCAGTTGCTGTGCTTTCGGGAGGACCACTATAGGTAAGGGGAAGTCATTGAAGATTTTTAAGCAGGAGAAAAACATGAACTGAATTTTGCTTTAGAACAATCTGGTAATGGTGTAAAAGAAGGATGGGGGGGTGAAAAAGCAAAAGCTTAGTTAGTAGTTGCCTACTATATATAACAAGTGCTCAGCATATGCAGATATAACATAGGCTGCTACCACTAGGAGCTTGCAGGCTACTAAAGGAGATAGATGAGAAGACAGATAATTGAAGCACAGAGTGGTAGGTGCTATGCTTAGAGGATACATGAAATATAATGGTGGCCAAAAGGTAGGCATGATCATCACTGTCTCAGGAACCAAGCCCAGGAAGGCTTCACGAAGGAAAAATTGCTTCCTCCAAGTTTGGTAGAGGCATCAATACTGTGCATAGAGATTAGAGGGAAGAGGACCAGCACATGCAAAGCATGATGTACAAAATGATGCAGCATTCATTTGGCAAATATTTACTGAACTACTGTGTACCAGGTCCTGTGTAAACCCAAAGAACAAAGACACAAAAGATGCAGTCCCCACTCTGAATAAGCTGCCTGTCAGTTAGAGTGAAAATCCTAGTGCTGGGTGTTAGGTGCTATTATAGAAGTCCATGTGGGCTGTTGAGGGAGTGCACACTGGCTGAACACATCATTCAGACTAGGTAGCAAAGAAATGATCTCTTCAGTGAATTTTGAAAACTCATAGTAGCAAGAGGAGTCTGTGCAAGAACAGAGAGTCAAGAGATCACAGGACATGCTTGGAAGAATGGCAGGTGGTTTAGTAGCGGGGCTTGAGAAGTATAGACTTGATTCTAAAAGCAATGGAGCATTATGATTATTAAACCAAGAAGTAATAGCATCAGATTTGCCTTTTAAAAGATCACCCTGCAGTGTGGAAACTGGTTTCAAGGGATGTTAGCCAGATTGCAGAGAAAGAAGAGTTTGAAGGCTAATGAAGTGATTATAAAATGAGGAGCGCTGGTGTGGCCTGAGCTAACACAGTGTGACCCGGAAGGCAAAAGGAGACTGACGTGAGAGAGGTTAAGGAGTTAGAATCAACAGAACTTGGTTACCGAGGGATGCCTCACAAGGGGGTGACTGTGGTTAAGAAGTGAGGATGCGAAGGACGTGAATGCAGACTGTTCTGGACCACATTTCTTCTGTACGATTTGAAGGAAGTCTTTCTCAGTCTTAGCTTCCTCACCTACTAGGTTTTCCACCTGCGATGGGAACGTTGCTCAAAGTCCAAGTAACAGTACAAGCCTCAAGCAATGTTGTAGTAGAAAACCACGGTGGCTAAGAGGGGACAGGAACACAATCTGGAGTAGAAAAGACCCAAAGCCCTATGTCTCCTGTTCATAGCTTATTCGCTGATGGATGTGAGACCAAGGGAGGAAGACCAGGTGTGTTTAACTTGTCCTTCTGAATTTTCTTTGTATTCTTAACAAATACAAAACCCTAAAGTAATGGTTCTCAACATTTGTTGCACATTAAAATCACTTGGAGCTTGAAAAAGTTCTGATGCTCAGGCCATACCCCTGTGCGGTTAAATCAGGGTCTCTTGGGGGTGAGATCCAGGCATCAGTATTTTTTGAAGCTCTCTTGCTTATTCCATTGTGCAGCCAACGTGGGGAATCCAGAGATTTACTTCCTTGGAAACTGAGGCTCTGGAGACTAATTCTTTTTTTTTTTTTTTTTTTAGACAGAGTCTCACTCTTTTGCCCAGGCTAGAGTGAGTGCCGTGGTGTCAGCCTAGCTCACAACAACCTCAAACTCCTGGGCTCAAGTGATCCTTCTGCCTCAGCCTCCCGAGTAGCTGGGACTACAGGCATGTGCCACCATGCCTGGCTAATTTTTTCTATGTATTTTTAGCTGTCCAATTAATTTCTTTCTATTTTGGTAGAGACGGAGTCTCGCTCTTGCTCAGGCTGGTCTCGAACTCCTGAGCTCAAACAATCCGCCCGCCTCGGCCTCCCAGAGTGCTAGGATTACAGGCGTGAGCCACCGCGCCCGGCCTACAAT